AAAAAAAAAAAAATGTTGAAGCTAATATAATTACGCAAAAACCTGTTAAAGCAACATTTCATTTTCGTATAGTAAAAAGTAAAATACGATAATTTATTGTTGTCGCCGTGAAATTGAATTTATATTTTTAAGTAAATGATTGATTTTTGTTTATATCATTTAAGTACGAATTTTATTATTTTTAAACGCATAAATGAACATTCTCTACATATGCGATATACCTAACCTAATTATAATTTATAAGTAGAATGTAGGGCAATCAATTCATTGCATAATAAAATCTTCGTTGTCAAAAATACACAATAAATCCTGAAAAATGAACTAAAAAATTATAATTTAAAAAATATTACAGTGTAACAAAAAATTACTTAAGATCAAAAATAATCCTAAAATATGAAATGTAACCTAATCTATATGTTTCAAAATTTAATTCATCAGTATAGATATCTCCTAATTCAAACTTTGTGTTATAAAAAAGATGTATTTAATGATAAGTAATAAAATTGCCTGCTTAAATTTTGGATCCCCTATTAAAAAAACAAACTTAAATAGTTTAAAAATGTCCTGCCTTAACACGAAAATGTGTATCAGATGAAAAATAATGAAAAGATAATAGATATACATTTAAGGTGACCGTTAATCGTTTTATTATTACGTCTTTTAGATTTTGTAACAAGTATACATTTTAGTAGGAAATGTGATTGAAAGATAATTCCAAAAATATCGTTTATATTTCTTGTGTTATATTAGCCAGGTCACCTATACCATAAGATTTTTTTTTGTAAGAAGTTATCGTATTAACAATTCAAAATATTGATCACGCTGAAGTAGTGCAATTTTAAATAATTACATTATATTAAAGACGATCCTTTTGAGGCTTTGAATATATTTAAAAAACAGAAATACCTATAACTTTACAAAGTGTTACACTTAAATTTAGAATATTTGAAACATAAAACAAAAATGTATACTGGACACTGGTATTTATATTCAATGATATAACATATTATTGGAGAAATAAAAATTAATTAAGTTCAGTAGTCAAAGTCTATTCAGATGTCATTCGTGTCAACCGCCAATACAATAACAAATATTTTTTTGTGCAATATTTCTTATCAAATTTATAATTAGTAAAGCGCGGATTTTTATGCATTTGCATATTTATTCTAATTGATCATATGATATGCTAAGTGCAGGGACGTATTTAGCTGGGGGTGGAGGGAGACAATTGTCCCCGGGCGCCAAATTGTAGAGGGAGCACTACACTAGAAAAATGAAAAATAAAATATTATTGGGCTGAGCTTTTTTTATCTGATGATCTTCTTTTTTTTTTAGGTAAACTACCGATATGTAAAAATTGAACAGCCCCTCCCCCCGACGATTTTTTTTTAGTAGAAAAAAATCACCAAAATCATAAATAAGTGAGCACAAAATTGGTTTCATGACATTGTTGCGTGCCAATATCAGATCCAGATCCAAGGTGTTATTAAAATGAATTGTACAACTTTTAATTACAATAATGTTTAATCTGTATAAATAAAATACATGTAACTGATATAAGAAGTGGTTGAGTGTCGTGAAGTTGCTCTGTTCTTCGTAGCTCTGGTACATCTGCCCTTGTTGGTCTTCGGACTCCCTTATATACAAGAAAATCTCTTGTTGTTGTAATCGTCAACCTTCCAATTTAGATTAATTCTTGGAATTGTTTTCACATTTGAAACAACAATCTCCAGGATGTTATCGTCTTACTGGCAATTCTTGTAAACGCAAAACGACCTCACCTAAGAACTACTATTTTTATTTATTACAATGTTTTTACAAAATATGAATCTAATATTCGTATACATTATAATTATTAGATCACATATATATTTAGATCACTATTGCTAATACCTATAGCAATATTACACATATATTACATATTAGCATATCTCGTAGCTCATGAATATTATATTTATATTATTAGTATATCTCGTAGCCCATAACACGATTTTTTTTTAGTAGAAAAAAATCACCAAAATCATAAATAAGTGAGCACAAAATTGGTTTCATGACATAATGATTTAAAAATGAAACTTATTTAGTGCATATTTTTGCATATTTCGACATTTTTATATTTTAAAGGCTTATTTTACAATTTTAATTGCATATTATTTATATTTTTTAAATATATACTATTGCATGCAGTCAGTTATAGTATAAGAAAAAAATATTATATTTATATAGTTTCGATTAATATAATAAATTAATAGGTTAAAACGGTTTTTCCAAATATGACCATAAATCAATAGTCGGGGAAATAAAATATTTAAATTAATCTTATCGAGAAAAACATATCAATTACGGCCATGATTTAACACTAACATTATTTCACTATTGTTCAAAAAATAATTTTTTTTGTGCATATTATTTTTTTCGTGCATATCTTAACATTTTAGTGCATACATTTATGCATGTTTAAGATTTTTTAGCGCATAGAGATATTTAGTTGGTTTTTAAAGCATATAAATCCGCGCTCTAAATTCATTACTAATAAGTAATAATTATACAATATTAATGGACGTAATGTAATATTGATGGGAAACCCCGAATAAAGTTGACTAACTTTATTATTTTGTTTTTATTAGGTACTTAAGTTATTATAAATATTTTGTATAATAATTGTGATTATTTAAAACTCTATAACGAACTATGGAATTTTTAAAACGACTGAGATTTGATTTGAATATTGATTTTTTTTTTTTCAGAGAACACCAACATTTGTTACCTATATTTTTGTCGGGTGACATCACGGATGATGTGCTTTCTATCGGTCTCGTATTCGCTTCCGGTTAAGAGACTACGGTAGTGGATTAGTATACCTTACCGAATATTCTATAATATTTTATATTATATAATCATTATATTTTTAATATGTTAATTGCAATTACTTTTGGTTTGTATTACTTTGAATGGAATATTTCAGAAAAAGTGTTAGCCGTGGTTACTGACAATGCAAAAAATATTGTCAATTCCATTCCATTAATTTCATCAACAAACGAAAAACAAATTTTTAATATTAAATGCGCAGCTCATACCTTACAATTAGCTGTAAATCATGCTCTAAAAATCGAAAGTATAAGTGACATAATCAAACAGTGTAATAAAGTTGTTGGACACTTTAAGCATTCAACGTTAGCAGTACAATCTCTGGAAAAAAGACAAGAACAAATTGGCTTGTCAAAAACTACATTACTTCAAAGCTGTAAGACGCGGTGGAACTCAGTATATTTGATGTTAGAACGTTTATACTTAAATAGATGTGCTATTTTTAATGTTTTAACAGATAAAAATATTACAAATCGATCATTAGCTGAAAAATTAGAAATAAAAGAAACTGAATGGACATTGATCGATTCACTTATTAAGGTTCTTAAGCCAATCCATATGACCACAACTGTTTTATGTACTGAAAAGCACTCTCCGATTTCGATGATTAGACCAATAATAAAAAAAATTATAGAAAAACATTTATTACATAGTGATGATGAAGATACTGTCATTCAGAGTTTAAAAAAAACAATAGTGTTAGAACTTGAACGCCGATTCTTTCTCGACTTGAGTCCAACAGAACAAATACTGCCTGAACAAATTGCATCCTTCCTTGATCCTAGGTACAAAGATTTGGAGCATGAGGCGTTATCCACGCGTGAGGAAATTCGATCGAGAGTAAAAGAAATTTTAAGTATGAGCGACACGATAAATTTGAATGATAAGACATTGAATAATTTAGGAGACCAGCAAAAATGCCATAGTAATGCTTTGGAATATATTTATGGGACTGAATTTAATGATGATGATGATTTGACGAAACAGTTTGAAAATTATATAGCAGAACCACAATTAAGGTTCACATTGGACCCCAAAGAATGGTGGAAAACTAGATTTTCTAAATATCCTGTAATTGGCGACCTTGCAAAAAAATATTTAACAATTCCTGCAACATCGGTAAGTTCAGAAAGATGTTTTTCGACGGCCGGTAACATCGTTACTCGTAAAAGAGCATCTTTATCACCTGAAAACGTAAATATGCTTGTTTTTTTACACCAGAATAAATATTTATTGAATAAAATATGATAAATATTTAATTATTATTTGAAAATTATTCATAATATGATTAATAATTGTTTTTGATTTGTGATATACCTAACTAATTATTTATTTAAACATTTACCTACTTATTTGGTTTTTTGATTATATGTTTAGTTTAAAATGATATTATTTATTTATGATTTATTTACATAAGTTATTGTTATGCTATATTATTTACATTGATTCTTATTGTTCTGTTTATTATTTAATAAAGTAATCTCATTCTACTTTCATGTAATTCATACCAGTAAAGTTAATACTTTTCTATTAAACAATACTAATACATTGTTTACTCCTATACCTATGCTATTTTTGATTTCATTTTTCCAGCTATCAATTGTACGAACTCAAACACAAATATAATTGTATAAACTTACTGAAATTTGTAACAAAAATTAATTTTTTTTAATACACGTGTATGTTAATTACACGTACTTCGTGTACACGTGTATTTAAATAATCCCACTAACTCTAGTTCTTTCAAGCACTATTTAGAATACCCAGGGGCTTCCACAAGGAAGCATTTTTCGTTGACGTCCAATAATTGTTTTATTTGTTTAGTATTAATAATGTTATTATTGTAATTTAAATAATTATAAATTATTATATTTTTACATATTATATACTGTATTCAAAAATGCCATACGGGTAATAGTCTTATATAGTATATTTTATTTTATTTTATTTTTTTTTTTTATTATTATATTTTATTTTATTTTATTTTGCTGGCCGCACTATAGTATATTTTCTTTACAGTTGTCACCTAAGAACTACAATGTTTATTATATTTAAATATTAATCTTTGATTATCACATTAAATACACTTACGGATTAGGTGTATATGTTATAGTATTTTTTAATTTATGGATATGGATGCTATTAAAAAGTATTTTACTCAGTCTATTGTAGACAATGTTAATAAATCAATGGATGAAAATGATGAATTGAATGTTAATACAATTTATAACAAAACTCAAGATAGAGAGGTGAGTTTTATAATAATAAAAAAAGGACAATATATTTATAATGTTAAAAGTTAAAATATTAATTGTTTATTACCTATCTAGAATGAGATGATCATTCCATCATGTTCTGAGCTTATAGACATGACAAGTATTCAAAATACAAATAAGCATCTTTTACATAAAATAAAAGTAAGGCAAAGTAGTTAAAACATATTTATTTTTTTTATATAAATATTTAAATAGGGTTTAGAAGATGAAAACGACCGTTTGTTGTCAATAATTGAAAAAAAAAATGTTATAAAAAACGATTGTAATACACCAGATTTTACAAATAAAAAAATATCACAGTTAACAGAGAGGGTAAACGAACTTATGTCAGAATTACAAATAATTAAATCGTCAGCATGTAATGATTATACAAGTATATACTGTCAGTGAATAAAATATTAAACTAATATTTATTAATATTTTTAATTGATATTTTAGGAAACAAAGATTTTTTAGAAATTAAACACTCGACTGATAAGTTTAATGTATTGAATAAAAAGATTTGCAATTACCGAAACCAAATAATGCAGTTGAAAAATGATTTAAAAATAACTCAAAATGTAAGGATTTTTATAATGGGAATTAAAGTTTTTAAAAGGTTTTTAAGTATTTAAAACAGTATTGATCATTCATGATATAGGCTTTATCTAATGAAATTGGAGATCCAGTTGTGATGCAAAAAGTTTTAATGGGCACGGGATCTTCAAATTATATAGGGCGTGCGCAAAAAATATTAATATTGCAACAGAAAGTGAACGAGCTGCAAGCGAAACAAAATGATTCAAAAACCAAAGAACTGCATCATTTAACTGGTATTTTTATAGTCTTGACATATATATTTTAAAAATATTCTATATGAGAAATGTTACTGGATTATAATATTGATATTTTAGTTTAATTAGATATTCTGTTCAGCTTTTGAATCTTGAAATGTTTGATTTATAGAAATTTTCTACTATAGTACTTTTTTTTTTTAAATTATAAGAATATTTAATAAACATAAGTTTACTTAATAAAAAGTTAAATTATAAGAACATCCTTTTTTGATGTATATTAGTCGATTCTTATATCAAACACTCATTATTTTAAATCTATTGTTTTTGAAAATATTTTCTTTTTAATATAATTTCCAGTTAAAATAAAACAATATTTTTAAGTTTTTTTAATTTTTTTGAATAATAACATACATACGAGGTTAGTGAGACAGTGTGATATGAGAAAATACTCCGCAAAATATTGTTCTACTATACTTCGCTTACCGAAACTTTAAATACTTTAACTCATAAACTACTCGTCCGAATTTTAATTTTTATGTATCGAAATAATCTGAAAATTTTTAGCTTTAGAATAAGGTATTAAGAATGTATGTTGTCATTTAAAAAAGTAAAAAGCTTAAAAAACTATATATATTTTTAAATATGTCCATTTTATTTTAACTAGAAAGTATGAAAAAATTTTTTTTCGAAAACGTTAATAGATTTAGAAATAATCAGTGTTTGATAAAAGAATCTCCTACTATTTTATTTTATTTATTTAAAAATATAGTTAATTTTTAAAAATGTAGTTGTTTTTTTAAGAATTATTTAACTGTCTTGCAAGATTCACTATATAATACCTACATTTTTTAAGTACCTATTAGGTAAGTGATACCAGAATAAATCTTTTATAAGTGTCCTTGAATGAATAAATAAAAAATTCAAATAAAAATTTTTAACAATGAAGAATACCTTTTATAAATCTATTCTAACCATAAAATGTCTTTAGTTAATACCAGAAAATTGGAAAAAGCACGTAAAGCAACTAGTGATCAAGTATTAAAGGATGCTCAATCAAAGGTTAGCGAATTGACTAAATCGGTGGACATTTGGAAAAGTCGTAGTAAAGGATTGGATGTAGAAATCACTGTTTTAAGAATACAAATTCAAAAACTATTATCAAAATCTGAATCAGATAACCAACTTATTGATCAATTAAAGGTATTGTTAACATAAGACTCGTACATATTAATTTCCAATAATTCTATGTGTTTATAGGCCGAGTTAAGTAATAACAATATACAACGGCTTAAAACTAAAGACTCTATAATAAAACTCGAAGAATCAATTACATTATTACAATCAAAATATGATAAAGTATGTTTAAATATAGATAGTTAAAATGATTTAAACAATAAAAATAATTACAGGCAACAAAAATTATTGAACGGCAAGCATTTGATTTGGATGATAAAGAAAGAAGAATATCTCATTTAGAATCCAAAACACTAAAGAATAATGACTCAACTAAGTAATAATAGTAGTATAGATATATATTATATGATAATTCATTAAGCACTAAACATTAAATTAAAACTTTACAGAGTTCATAATATGTGTTCAATAGATTTTACGGATCCTAAAGAAATTTTTTTTAAGGTAAATAACCAATATCAGATGAATAATATCATTGCCAGGTTTTAATATAGTTTTATTAAATAGAAATTGAATGAATTTGAAAACCAACAACTTGTGGATCTATTAACCATAGCTCATAATAAAATTTGTGAATATGTTCTGGATGCTGTTGATTTTAAAGTAAATATATCAGAATTAAATATTTTATTAAATTAACAGTATAATTTATTTAACAGAATAAATACTTAACGGAAAAGCAAAAATTAGAAAAATTTAAATTAAAGATGAGATGTTTGAGTTCATCTACATTATTTAAGCAAAGATCAAATAATATTTCATATAATTTCAAACATGAATTAAATCCTAATGAAAAATTAATAGAATTACAGAATAAGTAATACTATATAGGTTACATTAATAATAATAAAAATCATAATGAATACTATTTTATAACATTCAGACTAGAATTGGTTGAAGAAGAACGTGCTGCTTTTAAAGATAGATTGGATACCCTCATAATGTTGAATAAAGAAAATGTACATATGTTTACTCAATCATTAAACAATATGAAACAGCAAATAACGAAGATCTCACAAAATTCCCAGAAATAAAATTTGAAGAACCGAAAATAGAAAATCCACTTGATTAAATAAAAGAAACAGAAGAATATAAGTATACCCAAACAGTAAATATAATACCTCAGTGCTCATTCACAAACATTTATTTTAAATTTCTAATGTATGACCCAAGTTTTTTAACACAAGTGTCCAAAAGTTTAGAAATCCTTCAAAAAAATTAATACAGTTCAGAAACCACCGCCGCCGCCAAACACCATATCAGTTATCATTGTTATCAATAATTTATTTATCCACCGTCGCAATTACACACGAGCCATGCACACCCATCTCCCATACCGCCTACCAAAGACCCTCCACCCAGACTTTCGGATCCACTGCGTATCCGATAGATACATCTTTTTGCGCACGCGCATATCACATACGTGAGCTGCATTATCGGTCATCACATATGTTTTTATTAGTTATCAAATAAAATGTTATCAGTTAATAGTTGTCATTTATCGTGCACGCGCACACGACAACATGCAAAGCGTAGGTACTCTTTATTATTTCTTCACCGTATACTTAGAGTACTCTGACGTATATTATAAAAATAAAAATTTTAACAACGCATCGGTCCCTCTTACACTTGGGAAAATAATATACAAAAATGTATATTAAGTATAGAAAACCTATTGGCAACAATTGAAAACCCATTGACACTGTAATGGCGTTAGCATTGATACCCAATGAATGTATTGATAGTCGTTGAGACATCTGCCAAACATAAATATGTATAGAAAAGCTATTAGTAACAATATTAGTAAAATAACAATTTCTATCGATTCTTTATAGGGTAGATTTCTGCTAACACGGAAATGTATAGAAATCTCAATTGGCGCTAAAATTTGCTAATAGTTTTCTTTGTCTATATCGCTTGTACGAAAAAAGCTCTTATTGATTAAAAATCCATTATTTTTGTGTATTTCAAACTTGAATAACTTTTTTAGTAGTTCCGATATCGAAAAAATAAAAACGATATTTCACAGCAAAATTTTTTTTCTTAATTATGACTGTAGCCTCCTCGGTTCTTTCTCGCGCGAAACAGTTTTTTCGTAAAGATTTCAATGTTATTAAATATTTTTGGCTGTAATGAGCTGTTGCCTACAATCAGTAGGTACAATCGTTGCGACATCGAAATATCGAATATGATTTTCCCCTCCACAATAAACTAAAATTATATTTGTATCGGCAATCAACGTTTCCGCACACGTAATAATTTCCACGAATATTTTAGATATTATGAAATAATTTCATTTTGGTGACTATTACTAATATGTAATTGCTGGATAATTCTAAAACTTAAGTACACACCGATACTATTATAATATCATATAGGTACTCGTATAATACAAATATAAGCACATTTCAGATTTTCTATAATTGCTATAATATACCTAGACACCTACTATGCGCAAGCCCTATTCAGCAAATTACTTTTAGTTGAATGTTTGTTTAGTGAACAATGTTGATTCATCAAAACTTGCCAAATGAATTTTAGTCGTTGTTTTTTAACTGTTCTAATAAAATTTCATAAAAGTGTATTGTTTTAATGTGCCATTTTTATGTACCTAATTTATTTTGTACGTTAACGTATTTAAATGTTTGGTTACTACTGACTAATATTTATGATGTCACCAAAAAAAAATACGTTCAAAAAATCGATCTACTAGAAAGAAAGCAGTTATTAAGTGCATGAAAAATATAAAACTTAAAAAAACGTAAGTATGACATTTTAATTAATAATAATCCGTCTTATAACTTATTTCAGTACCTATACCTTCGTTAGACACTTTTAGGTATAGAATAATATAAGGATTTGGAATCAGGACATTATTATTTTTGTTATATTTAAATGATTGTTAGTTAGACGTCATTATTTTAATGAAGTCTATTACTACTACCAGATAATGGATTAGATGGCATGTCTGAAAATCTTGCCACGGACAATTTAGATGGAACTGCAGAATCTTCTATTTTTGAGTACCTATACATTATTATATTACAAACACGTAATAGATATTATAATATTGTTTTCTGAAAATAATAGTAACGTTTTAGTGAGTCAAAAGTAACTTTTCACGTCGAAGATACATGTAACGATACATCTTTTATTTTGAGCTTACCGTCAACGTCGAAGTGAATTGACTAATTAATTTAATTCAAATTAAAATGAAATATTTAATCAAAACAAATTTACTTATTTTTTAGTAAACATGAAACACAAGTAGTACAATCGAATAACGGAACATTAGATATTAAAGTTTCTATAAGTAAGGGAATAAATAATACATGATTAAAAATATATATATATGCGTATATATAATTCATATTATATTAGTATATTTAATATTACCGCCATGACTTATATATCTGCTACAAAAACAATTTTTTTTTTTTTTATTAGTGAGGCGATATGGATATATTTTTTTAAATTTGCCATAAATAAATATAAAAACTACGAACTATTTATTATATATATTATGTAGGATACGTGATACGTTTTAGTGTTTTATGAATAATTTTTATTTGTTCCAAAACATTTCACATTTTTTAAATTATTCTAACTTATTAACAAAAAACTATTATTTTTATCAGTCGGTATACTAAATGATGTAGAAGTTTCAAACATAATTGAAAATTGCACTAAAGCTGTATGTACAAGTGTCGTTGAAACTGATCAGACCTTAACAAGTTCATTTTCATCGGAGTCAGAAGAAGAAAATGTCGGCAATGAAAAATCAACACTAGAAGAATGTTCAATTGTATATTTTTCAGGATACCTGGTAAAACATTGCATTGACCATTTTAAATGTATAATTTATATGTCTACTATATTAACGACAGAAGAATCTAATCAAATGTTAACTATGCACAAAACGTTTTCGCATATTGATATTTTTAAATAGTAACGACTTAAAAAACCCCGTCACTTTTTATAATTAATATTTGTAAAATAGCTTTACAGGTATTTGAATCTTTGTTTGATACCATACAAAGTGAAAGTGGAATAGTAAAAAAAATAATGAAAATAATGGTTGAAAAATTGGAGAAAAAAATATCAAGTTGAAACAATTGCAATATAATGAACATATTATTTATATTATCAAAACTATTATTCACTATTTGAATTTATAAATAATGTAAATGGCCGAAAGAAAAATGTATGCAAAAGCCTTGTAATTTTATGAAACAACAACCAAAATTGAGAATACTACAAAACAAATAATTAATTGTAATATATTATAATGTTAAAAAAATGTTAAAAGTGTTTTAATATTTATTTATGTTTTCATGACAATATTAGTATATTTGGCATCCATAAAATGAGTGGGGAAATGTTTGTGTTGTAATAATTCAGCTAGTTAACCTTACAACTTTCCGAGTATTGCAGATTAACATCGACAATAATTAATATTATTTATATGCCCATACTATATTATTATGTTAAATGATAATAATAATTAATGAAAACTCCTAAATCAATACCCATCGTCTTGGAATACATAGAGCACAAACCATACAATTATTAGTTATTAAATACCCGAAAAACTATGTGTTTATTGTTTATTTTTATTCAATCAACACCCGAGTTGGACCAACTCTTTTTATTATTATTATTCTAATTACTACTTATTCGTAATAATTTTAAAAATCGATCATTCCTCTTCATTAAGTCGTCCTAGAACATGGAATATGATTAACAAATATTATAACACCGTCGGACACAATATGAACTTACACCACATCATTTAGGAGTTAGAGAGTCAAGTAATATATTCAAACCACAATGTGGTTTCTGGAGATGTCATTAAAAGAAAGACATTAATAAATTAATAACCACTCACAACTACTCTCATCATATTTCAGAAATAAAAAGTGAACCACTCAGACTGTCCACGTACCTCCTAGCTCAAGAGCTAGTTGCGATCATCGTCGCTGAATGGTCCACCGTCGGAAACGGTAGACCATCAGCCGCCTCACGCTCCGATACATGGACTAAGTCTCATCATCGTGGCCAATGACGACTCCAGATTTGCACCTGGAGGGGACGATGCATACTACAGAAATGATCCTGTGAAGTATGATCTTAAATTTTTCGATGCACATCCACCGGTATTTATACAAAACGCAGTCCGATAAAAATTGGTAGACTCGTCGCTTTAAACACCAAGTTATTGCGTCGCGGTACCGCATTCGCATAACCAGAGCGATGGTTCGCACGCGTTTTCGGGTTCGATGCTTTTCCGGGTTTTCCTCCGTACCGGAAAAACGTTTCGTCGTACGGGAAAACGCCGATGCACCACGTTCTATTGCACACGTCTTAGTTAACGTACCGCGGCAGAGCTATCTACCGTTGTTTTTATTCGGCACTTCGCTTACGAGTTGTCGACCGGCTCAACGAGAATTTACACCGGTAGATCTCGCTGCCGTTACCAAAAACCGATGCGTCAGTCTATTGATAGTTTGTAAAACAACCGAGTGATTTTTCGATTGAATAGATATTTTTAAACCTCGATTGTTTAGAAAACTATCGAGTAAATTACTCGATAGTTTTCTTTCGGTAGTTGCATACGTCTTACACCGACTAGTTTTGACTACGATAGTTTTCATTCGGTAGTAAATAGTAATGCACGTCTAGTACCAACTAGTTTTGACTATCGAGTTAAAAAAAAACAATCGAGTGATTTTTCGGTATTATCGACCGAATTTACTTGATAATTTTCACTTATTAGTTTTCAATAGTTCGATAGTTTTTCAATAGTTCGATAGTTTTTCGATAGTTCGATAGCTCGATAGTTTTATAAAACAACCGAGTAATTAGATAGTTTAAACTATCGAGTACTTCGATAGTTTTCACTCGGTTGTGCCCATCACTAATCTTAACAAACACGCCGAGCTTGAGTTTAACACAAATCGTGTGCTGGAATTCAATATCCATTTACATTCGGACATCGTCTACCTTCGTACGTTCTATGAAGTACAAAAAATGTATCTTTAAAGTTTCCAAATACAACAAACTATATGAATTTCTATAGAGTATCTAAATTAATCGATTTATTGAGTAGGTATCGGCCGTTGGCCGTTTTGCTTTTTCAGTCATAACACTCACAACGCATTATAGCTGCACACATTGCGTTTTATATAGATATTTAATTCACATATTAAACATACATATAGATATAGAGTATATATATTATATTAAATTATTGTTAGATCAATTACCTATAATAGAAAAGTAGCATTTTAGGAATGTTTCGTGTAAAAAATTTCATAAATTTCTTTTGGGACAACCAATACTATTGTCCATAACAGTTGATAAAAAAAAAAAAAAAAAAAAAAATAGAAAATTAAGATACAGAGTTACCCCTAACATAAACATTATCAAAAGAAATGAAAAAAATAATAATAGAAGAACTTAAATGAAGAAAGTGTTTATTTTATTAATAACTTAAAAAGTTTATTACCTAGTTATTATTTTTTTTTTATTAAGAATTAAGATTAATTAAACGTTTATTAAAATTATTTTATTCTGATTTGTAAATTTTTTTAAAATTATCTTTAATATTTTTAATACTTTTAATAGCGATTGTTAATTGTTATGTCAATTGAGACATTGAAACATTTACAAATTCCAATATGTTGATTTAAATCTCTGATCGGCAATCGTATAAACTTAGAATGTTTATTAATTATAATTTATAACCAATTGACTTTATGTCTACTTTATCAAAACTAAATTTTTTACATAAAAATCCGTCCAAAAATATTCTAACATTGCAATTTAAAATTTAAAATTCAAAACAAACAAAAATACCAAGTAATTATTATGAAAAAATATAATTTTCGAAATTCCTAACAATCCTAACGAGTTAAATAATATTAAATGAATTGCCAAGTACTCGCGTACATTATGTTATACTTATAATATATTATTGTCTATAACTATTGACATTTTATTTCATTATCGAATGAATATATTTACATATAACATATTATATTGTGTAAGTTTGAGTTATAAGTTGAACAATAAATTACACATTTTAGATTATATACATATGTATAAAAATACTTAATATAATATTTATGACAACTATTGTCGTATATTAACATTATTATGATATTCTGTATATTTGGCAGAAAGAACATGATAAACCGAATCATGACAGATTTCGTTTTTTTTTTTTTTTTGAAAGATAACTTATTAATCGGTTTTTGTTTATCCGACAGGATGGATTCATTTCCTTTACGATATTATAAAGTAATATTTTTCGTGCTATTTAGACCATTAGTATTTTGCAATAAACATAGCGTGACGGTTATTTATTTGTTATTATTATAATTTTTAACGTTTACAATAATTATGGAACAGTATTTAACCGTTTTTTATTATATTTATGTAGCAACGTTAACGCTTTTTTTTTGGAATCTAACGTATAAATTTAACAGTTAGCTGCCACTAAAAAAGCTATTACATGTTACAATAATCGTCATCAACAAATAATAATACTGATCGTTTTTATAAATTAAACACACTGAATCGTATGTATACTAATATATTGTTATTATAATTGTATTTGTATTATTATATATTATTAATAACCTGAATTAAAATTACAATTCTTATTAGATATTTTAGCATAGACACTATTCAATAGTTGTGGTATACACCATACACTATCCAAAAATAATGAATTATTTTCAACCGGGAATATGCGGCAAATAGATCATGCGTTTCACGTCTAAAAACTTACTACGGTAATAATATGGTCTTATACTGATACCATTGATTATAGTATTTATTATTAAAGTTTTTGAAAGTGTAATTTGTCGATTTAAGTGACCTTGAAAAAAAAAAATTATAAAGAATAACATTTTTAATGTATCAATTCTACTCAAAATTCAAAGTACACAATGGGTGTATATCGATACCGCGCATAGATATTTTTTTTTGTAAATAACTTTTACGATTACTTACAACAATGAACAAGCAATAATGAATTAATATAAATTCACTGTTTGAATAATATTTTAAGGCTCCAGAGCGTTTTGAAAATATTTCACTTAGATAGAATTCAAAAATTTTACAATATTATTATAATATTACTCTAATAAATCAATATTAATGGTATTATTTTTGTTTTTTTTTTTTAGATTTGTACTGGTTCCATGTGTTTACGTTCATAACTGGATTATTGAGTGTCATATTTATCATATTGCTACAGGGAAAAAATGTTTACAGATATTATAATTAAAAATTTAGTTTGTAATGTAGCGGCGACACCGTCTACTAGGTACCTATATCGGTGCTTGAGAAAATTCTATACTGGTTTGGAAGGGCGAGTTCGATGAAGTTCTTGTGACGCGACGTTGTGCGTAATACGATATATATATATATATATAATGCATCGGCGGCTGCCTAGCTAAAACCAACTAGTCTTTCCGCAACATACAACGCGCATCTACACTTCAATACTTCGTATATTGTTCTGTTATTTTCCTTTTTATACACGTTCGTATTATTCTGTATAATATTAATTTCAATAAAGAAATTTATGGTATATTGATGTGAGTGTTTATATTGAACCCAAAGTAATATTAGTATTTCATTTTATTAAATATTTGTATTATATTCTGTATTTCTATACTATCTATACAAAAAGTTACCCTTATCATGCTTAACCCGTCGTTGGTGACGCTATGAGCATTTTGCTCACACATTTAGTATTTTTAGAACCATTGGTTTATATTTCATTCAATTTTGACAATATTATATAAATGCTTCATTGAGTTATTCACGAAAATAAATACGGAAAAACATTAAATGTTATAAATAAACTAACAAAGTTATTGAAGTCCAATGTTGCCGTACATGTAATAATAACGTATAATATGTTATCGTTGTCGTTGTGATCGCACGTCACTGATCGCATTACCATATTATCTAGTTATTTTATTATTATATTATTTTATTATTATCTCATTATATTGTTTTATTATTATGCTTTAGCAGTTCAATATTGATATTTATAAATACCTGAATATATAAATTTGTAAGCTCATGTGTGTATTTTAATTTAATAGGTGAGCATTTCGCTAACACATCACTAACAGTGTTATAAAAATAACGTCACCAACGACGGGTTAAAAAGTATAGTTGACGTACAGCACTATATGTCTATATATTACATAGAAATATTTATCAATATTGAAATCTTAAAAGTTAAAAATCAAAAATTAGAATAATTTTTAAGAGATGGATTTTATAATAAATTTTAATAACTAGGTACTAATAAATTAATAGAATATGGATAAAAAAAAAATTTAACGTTACAGTTCGGATACAAAAGATGAGCTGAGGACCGCGCGTTTGACATGCCTTCTGTAGATTTATGTAGGTACCTGTACATGATATATAGTTCATTGTTATTAATTATTGTCAAAATTCGAACTGTAAATATCACTAAAAAACAGACAGGATATATTATCTTAGTTTTATAATTCACTACACATAACACGCGAAAACTTACGCCTTTATATTATAATTTATAGTAGGTACGAATATTTCTTCAATTTTATTATTATTATACAAATAAAATGAATAGAATGGAAAAAAATCTATTAAATAAAAGTGTAGAACTCGACATAGGTTACACATAATGTGTGATATGCGCTACTGTGATTATACTGCATCGTCAGCAATGATGATGTGTATTTTGTCATATTTTTAATGACATATAGAGTATAGGTATGATGCATGACATAGATACTAAATAATTATTTTATAAATGAATATCAGCTATAGTTTAAAAGTACTTATAAATAGAACGATTGTACTTTTTTTTTCAGTAAACATTTCACTAGTATGGAAAATACGGACGTCACTGTTTTCCGCCAAAATCGACTTTTCCGTTTACCTCCGGTACAATTATATATATATATACATTATATTTCCTTTTTCTGATATCACGAATTTCAGTTCCTATATTTTGATAACCCCTGATTGTAAGAATTAAAATATCATATTATATACCTACGTACTACGTATATTATCGTTGTACAGGCGATAAACGAAAAGGTCGATTTTGGCGGAAAAGTAGATCACCCGAAAAATACGCATAGGTAAATAATTTAGATTTTTCAAGTTCTGTTAAAAATCAATAATATTTATGGAAATTATAATCATCCTCTATCGTGTCCTGAAAAATTTTGTCTTAGTAACATTAATAGTTTTATAAATGACTGCGAAATCTATAGTACCATTGATTATAGAATAGTCTATTCTATAATCAATGGTATGAACAATTAGAAGGAAACAATTATTTATCTGTATCTTGATTACTCTTCAATAGAATAATTACCAATTTTATTGAACCATAATTGAAGTGTTCATACTTTGGATGACTAGTTTTGCAGTATTTAAGTAGATTTTTAAATAAAATGTAAAAATAATATGCAATACATTTAATAAGCTATAATATTCTTTAATATTTAGTTAGTTCACTACAATAAATTAACACAATTTGTGTGGTCTTCCAACGACAAAATCAGCTGTATTCTTAAATACTTAGTATCTATATAATAAAGTAATAGAAACAAATTTAGTAAAAACTACTTATTTAGTGCGAGATTATATTTTAAATACTTAAGACAAATATATATACTTGTAAATAGATAAGTACACACTAGTTATGAAAAATAGTTAGATTTTTAAGTTTTCAAATATTTAAAAATACTTTGGCTCATTCAAATTGTAAGTATGTCATTTGTATGGTTTATAACACAAAATGAATACCTTTAAAAAAATCCATAATTTATACTTAATTGATTATAAGAAATAGACTATTTTACTTTTAACTGGAGTCTGGAGTAAATAAGTCAAGTTTTATTATAGTTCAGTTTTTCTTTATTCTAAAATAAGAAAAACAAATATTAAAATAGTCAGATACAGTGCTATACTGAGCAAGAGGTACAATACACAAATTACAAAACCGATACTTTATCTTTCAAAAAATAATCTTAGTAAATGTTTTAAAGTTACATATGCTTTTAAATAAAAATTTGCATCATTTATAAAAATGTTTTAAGAAAAATCACTAACCTATATTAGGTTGATAAAACTAATATTGAATAACATTTTTTTTTTCTTTTTTTGAATAGTAAAATATAAAATGTAAATCATATTATAAATTTAACATAAATATCAAATATACAAAATATTTTAAAATGTACCTAATTTTGAAAAAAAAATTAAGCATACAATTCATTTTTGAGGAAGCATCAATTATATGTTAACATGTGAACTCTATTCGTTAAGAAAAATACTTAGCAGCCGATTTGTATTCAGAGGCGTGGCATTCTTACATGACAGACACACAGGTATTTGACTCAGGGGAAAAGACAAAAACTGGTCGCCACCAAATATGATTCTTAACTTAAATAGAACATAGTTAATATTATTCTGATACGAGTTACAGTTATTTAATTGATACATATAAAAGTCACTAGTGATAATGTATTATACGAGTACGTATAATACTAAAAAATATTGCTTAAGAATGATACATAAATCTATGTTATATAATTTTGTACTGAACAGAATACACATTATCTCATTATAAATGTTTTAGAAAATAATTCTACTAATCTGGAAAATACACTCATTGTAACACAAATAGTAAATTTAGTATGTCAATAAAAAAATGTACATGAAAAATTTAACTGTATAAACTATTTCATATTAAGCCAATGAATTGAATTAAAGAAAAAAAAATGTTATAATCAAGCAAGTTTTTTTTTTTAATGTTAACCTAAGATTATTAAAAAACTCTCTAATTTGTTCGATCAAATGATGCTAATGAGTACAGTATTTACTAATATGTCAAACATGAATATAATATTATAATAAATAATTAATTTTTATTACTCTTATTGTTATGAAACAGATATTGCTGATTTTTAATCCTAAACTCAAGACATATTAATTGAAATCATTATTATTGATAAGCAAAAACTTAGCTGGCATAATAAAAATACAGTTAAGTGATAAATTAGTCAAAATTTCTTTGCATACATTACTAAAAATAGAGTTGGAATATGTAAATTAGTCTGTAATTCTAAGGACAATTATAATGTAATGAAATGATTATATATTTTATAATATCTTATTAAATAATGACAATGACAAAAAAAAAAAAAAATTAAATCAAATCAAACATTGAGAAAAAAAAATACTGTACTCTAGAGGTAGAGGAGAAGAGGAGTATAGGTTTGTTGTGATTCGTATCTGATTTTTTATGCTTCTTTGAGGCGACCGCCATCACCTTCAGATACATATCGCTTACGAGATGAGGCTCTAAAAATAATATAATTATTATATAGTAATCATGAACATAACATAGTTGTCAAATCATTAATATTATTATGTTAGTACTTTGTTGGTATTTTAAGCAACATTTCTTTTTCTAAAAATCCAGAATTGATGCACATATCCAAAAAGCGTTCAAGAACAGCTGATGCCAATGGAACATCAATAGTTATATCATCCAGAACATCAAATACTCTATCAAAACCCTAAAAAAATATATAATTTTATTATAAGTTTTATGCTAAAATTTTAAATATTTTAATTTATTTCATCATACTTTATTCATCATTTCAGGGGTTATAATAATAGCATCATACAATGCTTTAAGTAATTTGCACATAGAGATTTCCGTATGAGTATTCATAGCTTCAATAACATCAATAACAGCCTAGAAATAACATTTAGATCAAAAAATTAATTATAATGCACTGTAAGTGAATTAAGAATATTGATATTTAAATAAAAATTACAAACCTCATAAACAAGTTCATGATGGAAATGTGGTACTTCCAATTCCAAAATACATCGGATGGCCTCTTGTAGATCTCCTGAACATAAATATTCATCCAAAAGCATGTTCATTTGTCTTACAAGATACTGCACTGGTCTCAAACTACCGCCAACGCCCCAAACATTATCAAGTCTGGTCAGTCCATGTTTAATATTCAATAAGTTGTGGGCCTTAATCAATGCTTGACTGAAAATAAGATAATGTACATTATTTATGTTACACAATTGGTGGTTACTTTATGTTCACTTACTTAGCTAAATCACTATAGTTTTTTTCTTTGAAGAAGTCTATAATCTTTGGTGGGAGACAGTCATCCGCAATGGTTCTGGCTAAGAAACAGCCAACAACGATAGGAGCATCGGGAGTATCAAGAATGAGATCAGGAAGATTAGCCAATATAACATCAAAGCCTTGGGCTATTTCTTTTTGCTTGATTAAACGCCCATATAAATCAGATATCAATATAGATGTCATCTCTCTCTGAGATGGTTTGTGCTCGAGAGCAACTTCAACAGAAACTTGAGTTATCTAAAAAAATATAAAGATTTATAAGCATGTTTTTTTTTATTAATGTAAAATATAATACTAACCAAGTGCCATTTGCTAACTATGTTTAGCTCGCTTAAAGCCATTGCTGCTTCATCAGTATCACCATGTTCATAATACTCAAGAATATTAAATGTAATCGAATTCTGAAAACAATTAAAATATTAAGATATTATGCAGAAGTCATAATGGTTAAGAGCTGTTTATCTTTTATTTTTTTTTTTAGACTAATTTCTTCATAATTCATTAAATTAGAAAAAATTAAGTGTACATATTATAAGTGAACTGATTTCCATATAGACTAGCCTTAATAACTTATTAAGATTAATACTATACAGGTGCATATAATTAAAAGCCTTACATAAAGCTATCAAAAATATTATTTGACAACAATTTTAACCATTCTTAATAATATAGTAAATTAATTGATAAAATGTTAATACGGAATTTTAAAAATAACTTATACAATATGTATATAAGTTAGGTAAGTATAATTACTTTGAGTTCTTCATCAGATGATTCCGGAGTGATTTCTCGTAACACAATATTATCATCATCCAACAAATCACTATCATAATTAGGATCCTTCACATCAATAGCAGCATCTAAATCACTCTCTTCACCTAACTTTCCCCAAACACCTTTGCCACCAGCACCACCTAAAAATAACAAAAAATATAGATAAATATAAATTTTAAGTTTAAATACAGACATAAATATTATGTCATAAGTTAAAAAGAATTTAAATAAATTAATAATTATTCATTTATATTTAAATTCTCAAGATAAATGTTACTTTGAAAAAATTGTTCATTTATTACATATTATGAAGTTAATTTTATAAAATGTTTACATCATATTCTAAGCTATACTCTATCCAGCGAGAGAGCATGTTCATTTTGTGCATTCTCACCCTATCATTAAAACTGATTTTCCAATAGGATAAATAGAAGAAACAATATTTAATAAGCCACAGTATGTTCTCTCACTGGATAGAATATTAACAGAAATTACCATTAAGTTATTTACGAGTCTAGGGCTCAGAATTTAATGCACTTAAAAAACACTAAATATGCATGCACTTATGCGCTAAAAAAAGTATGAATATGCTCTAAAAATATGTACTTAGATTTTATTTTTTTACACAAAATTTTCATACTGAATCTTCATAACTTACAAAATATGTTTTAAAAAATTGTAAAATTATGAAATATGCTCTAAAATTTAAAAATCCACTAAATATGCAAAAATATGCACTTTAAACTTTTGATGTTTTTCGTAGTGTCTTGGAATGAATTTCTGGCTCACTTAGCAATAAATCTAATAGTTAAAAAAACACATGTAAACGCATCAACTTTCGAGCCCTATTTATGAATAAATATTATAGATATAAAAAAAAACATTTGAATACTTTTTAGATTAAACATTAAATGTATGTTAACAAATTAAATACTATCTGGCAACGTTCTGTCATTACAAATACATCTAGATCTTAAAATTAAAATACCAAATACATTTTAATAAAATATTTTGCTAAATTGAACACTTTATCTACTTTAAAAAATTATGTTTTATAAAGTAAAATCTAGTAAGATATACCTATCTCACAACTTCATTCCAATGCAATTTAATATTTATTATCTTTCAATGTTTTTTTGTTGACTATTATTTTATTTATAAACATATAAGCATGTTTATCTCTACAAATTGAGATAATTAATAGATAACTAACTGTAATTTATGATATTATTATTTATTTGAACTTTTACTGAAGACCTTCAATAGATTAAAAATTTTAAATAAGTAAATTTAATATTCTTTTTAATCTGCCCCACCATTGCATAATGTATTACAACTTTAAAATGTATAATATGTCGACACAAAATTATCAATAATTTATTGTTATTAATAATCATAATATAATCATAATTAAGTCTATAATATTTGACGTCATTAATGTGTATTTATTGACCCTAAAAACTAGTAAATAATTAAATGAAAAAAAAAAAATGATAACAATATGGAAACTATATAGGTACCTATACTTCAATTGTCAAGTTTTTTTATTTTTATTATTTACTATTTATTGATAAAAATATATATTTAACTCACTTTCAAGGAAATAAATTTCATATAAGCTACTTATAAGATATAAGATGTTGTGTTATAATTAGAATTATATTAAATCTATTTGTTCAGAGGTATGGTTGAATTGTTTTGTCAAAGACTATTTATAAGTTTTGCTTCATACATATACATACATTTGAAAGTTGGATTATGCCAAATTAATGTAATACCTAAACGACTATAAATAGTATCCATTGATATTAAAATTGGTTTTGAGTTCCGACTATACCAAACGGTCGTTTAAAACCATACGTTCGACACCAACAGCAGACGAGACAGGTCACACCAAACGACCAAACACACGATATCCAAACCTACGGACGGATCATACAACTCATACGGTCTGGGGAGGATCTGACGCCGAGTCTCCAAGAAGCACATGATCATGATGTGTACATTACTACGCGACGTGTAAATGATATCATATTAATACACATAACATTCGTGCAGCATAATTAAACGACGGAAAAAGGTTTACCCTTCTTGATTTCTCCTCTTTTGGTGAAACCGTTCCTGGACTTTCTGTTGTTCTTCCAGCGCCTTTTGAGTTGCACCACGGTGGCGGTGCCACCGTGCCCGTTGACAATACCGCTGTCCCGGGACAGGGACTTGGCCAGTCGTTTGGCTTTGCGCTTAACGCGCATCTCCACGGAAGTCGGGTCCACAGCCTTGTCCGAATAGTCGCTGTCGCCGGTGATGGTACAGCCGTTGATCGCCTCGGACGTTACCACGTCGATGACAGCGTCGTCGACTTCGGCCATGGCTTCGGCGGTTCGGACTTTTTCGACACCGTTCGAACTTCTATAAAGTACCGGCGTGACACCACGCTGTGCGTGTACTCGGAGGAGATGAGATGGTAATAGGTTAGGCGTATATCAAGTTTTCGGCGGATCAGACAAGAATCGCGTTTGTAAAACGAATATTACAACATGAGACAACGCTTGTGAAACTGTTGGCGATTAAAATTTGTACACGGAACAAGGGCTCTGGGGTATACGTGCTGGGACGAATGAAACGGTACGGAACACGGGTTCGACGAAGACGGACAGAGAGGTCGCTTTGAACTGACGGTAACGACGGTGTGCGCGGTGTGAAAAAAGCCGATATTATGTCGATGCCTCGATGGGGTCCGCCGATACGCAAAAGCAAAACCGCCGCTTCCAGACGGAATTGCGCAGTTGATGAACCGGGCGCTCCGATTGGCCACAGCTGTTAGTGCCGATGTAAACAATAATAGTGTACAGCCGTCAAGGTCAGCCGCGCTCCGTGCCGGCTAGCGCTGGAAACAAGGAGGTTCCAATAATCGGACGCGTCGGCGTCGCTCATCGTGCGTGTGCGTGCGCAAGTGCGTAAAATGCGTATTAGAAAATAACATTTCGTCCCGCTCCGCCAGTCTGCGGTCGGTGATGCGGAAGGGCACCGCGCGGAGAACGCGGCGCGTGCGCGATACATCGCCGGTGTTCGGTGGTTGTTATTACGTATTGTTATTATGGTTGTCTGTTGATGCAATATTTAAAAACAACGGCCGCCGGCACGTCGACCATCGTTAATCGCGCGATTCGTCGTCGCCCTTTCGGACGACCTGACGCCGCTGCTGCATAATTATATCGTATTTAATATTACAATCATTTACAAATTTACAATGTTTTTGACGTATAATGCGTACTCGATATACCTACGTCTCCTACTTCTTTTGATATTATTAAGATTTAAGACGTAATACAATCCATAACAATTTTATTTGTGTACCTGCAACGCGTTTTGTAACTCGTTTACACGCGACAATTCGTGATAAATAGTTTCATCACAATTATTGCCGACACATTTATATCGTAAATTAATTAATAATTAATAATCCGTTATGAGATTATATGGACAAAAAACGATTATTGTTATTTATTATTTTTTTTTTTTCTATGTATAACGCGTTGATGCCCACAGCTGCACAACTGCGCGTCGGGACGTGGTGTGACGTGTATAGGAGGTATATGTATTCATACCACCTAACTGAATAAACAAGTATAATATAATGTACATCTGACTAAATATTATGAACAAAGCAACAAAATAACTTTATCTATACAAAAATTAATTATACTATTTTTTTTTGAAATCATATTAATTCTATAATAATTTTGATTGGTACGTAAATAAATAACCGTAAATATCAAAAATTTTGTTCTTGGAACTTTAAAGTTAAAATTAAAGCTTGAATTTATTGGAAATATAATAAGGTATATAATATGTAATAAAAAATGCGAAAATATATAATGAAAAATAACATAATAATAAATAATATTTAAAAAATTTAATTTTAACTGATACAATAACGTATATAAATAATGAATATGCAACAAATACGCAATTTACAAATATATTTTAAAATTTACGTAAATAGGTACAAATGATTGTTTAAGTAAATACGAATAAAAGTTCATTTTTCATTCTTGATTATTAAATTGTATTCAATATTTTCTTTAGTGAAGCTAATTCGAATATCCGCTAACAAATGTTTCTAAATGGAAAATTATTGTTCAATGTTCAACATCCACTGAAGTTGTTGGGAGCATATTTAAATAAGCGTAATATTACTTAATATATTTCATCAAATTGAACCTTTATGTCTAAAAATACTGTATTAATTTTGCATAATATTTTTTCGTGCTCTAGTTTTAATAAATAAAAATACTTTATCCCAGACAACTATAGGCTAGAACGTGTTAAATGAAATGGTAGAAAGGACAATTGTCAATTGTATCTTCAAAGAAAACCAAAATTAATATAAGACGTATATTTTAAGTACAATAAACACTCAAACTTCAACTTAAACTTTTAAATTTTCTACTATAGTACTTTTTTTTTTAAATTATAAGAATATTTAATGACACTTCGTTCAGTTACGTGCTGATTAATAAGTTATCTGATTCAATTTTATTAATAGTTTTAATTTGTATTCTTAAAACATTGATTTTCCTCAATCCTTTACTACGACTTTTCCAAATGTCCTGATTTAGTCAATTCCGCTAACCTTTGATTGAGCATCCTTTAATACTTGATCATAGTTGCTTTACGTGCTTTTCAGCGAATTTTCTGGTATTAACTAAAGATATTTTATGGTTAAGTGGAATTTATAAAGGTATTCTTCATTATTAAAATTTTATTTAATTTTATTTGTTAATTCAGGACACTTATAAGATTTATTCTGATATCACTTACCTATGGAATTGCCAAAAATGGGTATTATATATAGTGAATCTTACAGAGACGTTAAATAATTCTTAAAAACAACTACATTTTAAAATTAACTATATTTTAAATAAATAAAATAAAAATAGTAGGAGATTCTTTATCAAACACTGATTATTTCTAAATCTATTAACGTTTTCGAAAAATTTTCATACTTTCTAGTTAAATAAAATGGACATATTTAAAAATATATATAGTTTTTAAGCTTTTTACTTTTAAATGACAACATACATTCTTAATACCTTATTCTAAAGCTAAAAATTTTCCGATTATTTCGATACAAAGTAAATTCCGGACGAGTATTTTATGAGTTAAAGTATTTAAAGTTCGATAAGCAGTATAGTAGAACAATATTTTGCGGGTATTTTCTCATATCCTTCTCCACTTACTCTTGTGTTATTTATTCCAAAATCTAACGCATTAAAAATATTTGTTTTTTAACTAAATTATATTAAAAAATATTTTCAAAAAAGTAGATTTAAAATAATGATGTGTTTGATAAGAATCGATTAATATACTCGAAAAAGGATTCTCTTATAATTATAATTTTATAAGTAAACTTATGTTTTTAAATATTCTATAATTTAAAAATACTATAGTAGAAAATTTAAAAAAAGTTTCAAGTTCAGAATTGCTGTAACCCAGAATATAGTAAACTAAAATATCAATATTATAATCCAGTAACATTTCTCTATAGATATTTTTAATATATAATAAGACTATAAAAATACCAGTTAAATGATGCAGTTCTTTAGTTTTGAATCATTTGTTTCACTTACAGCTCGTTCACTTTCTATTTTAATATTAATATTTTACGCCTATGTAATTTGAAGATCCGTGCCATTAAAACTTTTGCATCACAACTGGATCTTTCAATTTCATTAGATAAAGCCTATATCATGAATGATCAATACTGTTAAATACTTAAAACCTTTTAAAAACTTTATTCCCATTATAAAAATCCTTACATTTTAGGTTATTTTAAATCATTTTTCAACTTCATTATTTGGTTTCGGTAATTGCAAATCTTTTATTCAATACATTAAACTTATCAGTCAGTATTTAATTTCTAAAATCTTTGTTTCCTAAAATATCAATTAAAAATATTAATAAATATTAGTTTAATATTTTATTCACTGACAGTATATACTTGTATAATAATCATTACATCTGACGATTTAATTATTTGTATTCTGACATAAGTTCGTTTACCACTCTCTGTTAACTGTGATATTTTTATTTGTAAATCTGGTGTATTATTACAATCGTTTTTATAACATTTTTCAATTGACAACAAACGGTCGTTTCATCTTCTAAACCCTATTTAAATATTTATATAAAAATAAATAATGTTTTTAACTACTTTGCCCTTACTTTTATTTTATGCAAAAGATGCTATTTGTATTTGAATACTTGTCACTCTCTATAGCTCAGAACATGATGGAATGATCATCTCATTCTAGATAGGTAATAAACATGTAATATTTTACTTTTAACATTATAAATATATTGTCCTTTTATTATTATTATCACTCTCTATCTTGAGTTTGTTATAAATTAATATTAACATTCAATTCATCATTTTCATCCATTGATTTATTAACATTGTCTACAATAGACTGAGTAAAATACTTTTAATAGCATCCATATCCATAAATTAAAAATACTATAACATATACCCTAATCCGTAGTGTATTTAATGTGATAATCAAGATTAATATTTAAATATAATAAACATTGTAGTTCTTAGGTGACAACTGTAAAAGAAAATATACTATATAGTGCGCACACAAATAAATAAAAAAAATATAAAATATAATAATATAAAAATAAATAAAATAAAATATACTATATAGACTCCATATACCTCGTATGGCATTTTTGAATACAGACTATAATATGTAAAAATATAATAATTTATAATTATTTAAATTACAATAATAACATTATTAATACTAAACAAATAAAACAATTATTGGACGTCAACGAAAAATGCTTCCTTGTGGAAGCCCCTGGGTATTCTAAATAGTGCTTGAAAGAACTAGAGTTAGTGGAAACATTTTTGTTATGGGTGAAAAAATTAACTAGAATATTTTAATATTAAAAATACTTAGTATCTATTTTACTATCAACTCGTTAAATTTAACTACCAATTTACCACATTTTCTATTTTATTGATGAAGACATGAAGTAATGTTGTCGTTGAACGATTCATTTCTTGGAAAATAGTAACAAGTATAAGTCTATATTATTACAATGATTTAAAATTATATAT